TATTTATGTATGTATGTATGTATGTATGTATGTATGTATGTATGTATGTATGTATGTATGTATGTATGTATGTATGTATGTATGTACGTACGTACGTACGTACGTACGTACGTACGTACGTACGTAACGTACGTACGTACGACATAACACAAGTTCAAGTGGATATCACAAATAACTTACACTTTTATAATCTATAATACCCTTTTACCCTTTAACCCACACTCCTGATATATAATTAAAAATAATAAATATAACCTGGGCAATTGAGAGGCGGAGGAGTCACGCTGGGCAACAATATTTGCTGGGTTAGAAGGGAGAATGCTAAAAGCAACAAAATATTCGAATAGGATGTCGCGAAGTAATCGCAATTCAAATTGGATGTCGTGAAACAATCAAAGGAACTAAATCGACAAAATCAAAGAGACAAAATAGGGTTTTTGTTCCGCTTCTTTTCTTTTTTACAATCAACGATTCCCTGCGATTGTTCGATTGCACAATCCAAATCGGTGATTCTTTCGACCCGAAGGATTTTTGTGATTTTGAGGGCGAGTTAGATCGGAAATCTTCTGGCGATCTCCAAAATCGTACAATCGTACGATCCGGATCGCGATTTTAACTACTATGCTTTACGTGGTGAAACTCATGAAAGGGGTCTTGATGTGTGTGGGTGAATGTAGGAAGTAACTAGTATTTAGTTACTCGGGAAAATATATCTAGGCATAAAATGTGGAAAAGTTTGTTTATGAGTTTCTGGTATTTAGCTTTGTAAACAAGGGGAGAGTTTTTGTATATTGTCTTAAAACGGTGGAATATAATTTTTTCTCATATATTCTTCTTCTGTTTGTTCTTTCATATTTTTGACGTTATCAATCTAATCGATGTTATACACACTTAAAATCATTACAATTGATATCAAAGCTTGGTTGCGCTAGGCTGGAGGGGTTTGTAAGTGGTTAGAGGAGAAAATTTGAGAATGCAGGGGATGACCGATTTAGTCCGGTACGTGACCGTGGGGCAAGAGCATGCATGTCACGGTGTGCACAAATGTACTTCAGAAGCAAAGTGGATGACATGGGGACCGGGTATGAAGCAGGTTGTTGACTTTGTGAAGTATAGTGCAGGAACATGACTGGAAGAGACCTGTGGTCTATCAGAGTGGGGATTTGCGGTTGATGCCTTGTGTTGAAAGTCTTCGTGACAGAAAAGTTGGTCGGGCAGCGTGCCTCGCAAGGTTGTTGCGACGGTGCAAGGTGTGGCAGATCAAAAACAAATAATTGTTAGAGGGGTGGTCTCGGAGTTGAATGGTCCATTTCTGAGAAAAAGGTGAGTTGTTTTTTTGTGCTCGGGGTGGAGCGTGAAAACTTACCGGGAGAGCTAAGGTAGTGACGATAATCTTGACGGGTTGGTTGGGATGGAGTCACGGGTACATTGACGATTAAAAGTTGCAGGGACCTTGTGGTATTCAATAAGGGGGAGCCACAGAGGCAACAAATGGTGGCAGAGATTTTCCGGTATTAATCAAAATAGAGTCTCATGAAAAATTTTAAGGTGACAATGATCTCGGTAGATTGACCAAGGTGGTGCCACAGGGATTTTTTTTCTTTTTCGAGGTTGTCGGTGATCTCGGTGAAGCAAATTAAAATCGAGGTGGAGCCAAGGAGATTTTTTTCTTTTTGATTATTTAATCAAGTTGGAGTTTGTTGAGAAATAGTTGATTAAGTATTCAAAAAGAAAGAAAAGAAAAAGAAAGAAAGAAAGAAAGAAAGAAAGAAGAAAAAGAACAAGTGACAGAGGTGGAGAAATGACATGTAGTTTGTAAATGCATTGCATGTATTCCTAAGTCCTAACATATCTTTATGTGGTGAAACTCATGGAAGGGCCCCTTTGTTTGATCCCATTTCATTTTGGCTATTTGTTAACCATGGAGAAAGGCAGTAGAGTGTGTATGTTGCACACCAAGATAGAGAGAGCATATGGGGTTCTACACATGAATACCCCTGGTAAAATCCAAGGGGTCTTGGTGTGTGTGGGTGAGTGTAGGGAGTAATTGATACTTCCTCCGTCCATCAAAGATCTTCTCATTGCGCGTTACGAGGTTTGACCAGCTTTATTTTCAATTCAATTTATTTGAATGTAAGAATAAAATTTAAAAATAAAATTTATATAGTAAAAAAATACATAAAAAGTTCTACAAAACTAGAGGTGACAACACTATTTTATTTTATGAAATGAGTAGTAAAAATAAGCAAACAAAGTGAATAAAGTTTGACCATGTGAATAGTGTCTGGGAAGATATGGTGGACATCTATGGTGGACAGAGGGAGTATTTAGTTACCTGGGAAAATACATCCAGGCATAGGATGTGGAAAAGCATGTTTATGAGTGTGGTATTTAGCCTTGTAAACAGGTGGAGAGTTTTTCTTTTGTATATTGTAGTGTTCTCTCATTTTTTGGCATTCTCAATCTTTTCAGTGTCTTATGCACTTAAAATCCCTACACTTTAACATCTTGCATGGAGCAAAAGTCATTGAATGTTATTCTACTTCAACACTTGAATTGATAACCACATTTTGTTTCATACTTTTCTAAGAGATTAACATTCCACAAAGCATGATACAATACCTAGAAATGGATCGTCTATCTATTGGAGAGCCAACCCAGTTAGCATTACAATAGTCCACAATCCTGTTATGGCCTCTGTCTTCCAAAAGTAATCATTTTCCCTGAATTGTATTGATATATGTCAGATTCTCAGAACCAGACAGCAATATCGCACTGACTATTCCTGAGCTTATCAAGATATTGGTTGAGCATACTTGTTGCTAATGAAATGTTCAGCCTTGTGGTTGTGAGTTAATCTAGTTTTCCAAATAGCTTCCTGTATTGCTCATGACTCCTCATTTCTTGGAAGGAGTTTGACATCTGCTTCCATGGGACTTCATGGGGGATACACATGTCTACATATCAATTCTCAATGCACCTATTTCCGCTAGAATGTCCTAGGAAAATATTTTTCGGTGAGAGAACATTGCCATTGCCAGACTATGCAATCTCAATACTGAGAATGTACCACAACTTCCCCAACTCCTCAGTGTGGAATTCACTAAATAGATGTTTGAGTTGAGAATTGCCTTCTAGATCACTACCTGCAATGACAATGTTATCAACATATACTAACAAATAATGCACCTGTTACGTGTGGAGGGTCAAACTATCGATAGAATACAAATTACAAAATGATCAACTTCACTTCTAATCATGCCAAATTGATGAATGGCTTTACTGAATCACAACAAAGAGGTGAGTCTTGTGATGGGTTTGTATTTGATGACCCACTACCAGAAAAAATACTCATTGAAAAGTGATACTCGTGCTGAAAAAGTTACAATTCACGCCAGAAATATAATTGGCTTTGATATAATATATTATCAAGTAGGAGATGAATTTGTTTGTGTTGAGATCTTCTCCGGACACTTGGTAAGAGGGGATACTGTGTACACTGCTTTGTTCACAGTCCTATTTTTAGCTAAATACAATGATGTCATGATGAACCAAAGAACGATATAGCACAATACCTATCATCGCCTGCAAAGCAGTCAATTTTTATTGATGCTCGTGCTGCTGGGGTTAGACTAATTAGTACCAGTAATAAGTACTGTTATTCTACTTCCTTTGTACTTTCTGGTGGACATGAAAGATGTATCTGTTTTAGCAATGTTTTGTCTGCAGGAAAATGCATACCTATTACAAGAGGAGGTGGAATCTATCAAGAACATATGAATGAAGCAGTTGAGCGCTTGAGTAATGGAGCCTGGGTAGTTACTTTACTCTTTTAAAATCTGATGTTTTGCTCACTGTCTATAGTGTCTTTCCAAAATATTCTGGAGTCCTCACAGATCTCTCATGCACAGTGATGAAATAATCTCAGAACATTTATTTGGTACCTAATATCTTCTAGAAGAGAGAGATGGATGTAGGGATCATTTATAGCCTTTAATATTTGATAGATATTTCTTACTTTTGTCTTATTTTTTGCATCTGTATACTCCTCTATGAGTTTTTGCTCCTATCATGGTTTTGCAAGTCTTTATTCGCATGAATGAAATCGTCCTTGTTGTTGGTGGTGGTAGTGAATTCAAAATAACTGCATATACAATATATGACATGTTCTATTATACGTGGCAATATTTTGATGGTTGATTTGGAAGAAATGATGCATTAAATAAGAATTTAATATTTGTTTTAACAAACAGTTGCATACGTTCCCAGAAGGAAAGGTGTGTCAAGAAGATGCCTCCATAAGGCGACTAAAGTGGGGTACAGCCAGTCTTATTGCCCGTGCCCCTGTGACTCCGTTAGTTCTGCCAATCATTCATCACGGCTTTGAAAAGGTGGCGTCTCACTTTCATTATATTTTGCACTTGGGTTACTACAAAGTTGCATGTGTGTTCTCATATCTCATGTCCCTAAATATCTTTTACCAAATACTTGTTTCCAGGTCATGCCTGAAGATTATATGTTTGGCAGAAGACCTCCTTTTCCTTTGTGCAACAGGAAGATAAGTATTGCTGTCGGCGAGCCAATGGAATTTGACCTTCCCGCGTTGAGACAGATGGCACTATCGTCGTCCGAACGCCCATCATCACATACGGGCAGTCAGTGGCCCAAAACTGTGCAAGGTGGACTGGACGAGGCAGCCCAAAGATATCTCTACACAACCATATCGGATCAAATCCGAACAGCCATGGAGAAGTTGAGAAGTTTCTGCAAAGCTGAAATGAAGTCAGCTGGTGAGTGTAGCTCCATTTCTTCTCAAAAATAAAATTTGTTTATGAGGCGCTTCTTGCTTCGGGCTTCATTTAATCCTTGCCTAGGTGTTATATTCAAGTGTATTGCATTCTAGAATATCTTCTAGTGTTTTAAAACGCATTTTAGAACACTGGGAGATGTCTAGCGCGTTTTAGAACATGACTGGTAGGTTCTGAATTCAATGTTTGTGTATTTAGAAAGCATGAATCTTGTTGAAGTTTTAACCTTACCCACACATGTTTGAAGGAGAATGACCTCTGTAGCTCTGAGGCAACATTTGATTTCTGGAGAATCATTAATTGCTGTAGATGATATTTTGTGGACAAATGTGTTCTCTGTGATTTTCTTGAGAAAATAAATATTTTGCGAACAAATGATATTTTGTGGACAAATGTGTTCTCTGTGATTTTCTTGAGAAAATAAATATTTTGGGAACACATGCTTTCTATTGCTTTCCTGGGAAAAAATAATCTTCAAAATTTCAACTTGTGGCATTGATCTCTTGGCAAAGACTTGTATGTAGTACAGAGTAAAAATCATACATGTACTATGTAGGAAAATTAGGAGGAAAGGCAATTTGGTATAGCTAGGGATGACAATGGGTTGAGTTTTTGTCGGGTGGAACTTCGTCCACATTCATCCATTAGCTTCATATTCGTTACACATATCACCCATCACATGATCCATCCATTACCCACAAGTGAAACAGGTAATATTAATAATTGTTTTTAGTTTTTACGGAGTAATTATTAGTTTCATGAAACGAAGTATTTATGATGCGCATAACATAGAAAAAAATCTTAAGAAAATAATGTATTAATGATTTTTTATGATGAAATCCTGCAAAGAAACAATCTTCTAATTTACAAACTTAGTTCTTTTATATAGAAATTAGTACATTGAACTCGTACTCAACAAAGCCAATATTCTTTTTTTTACTGGTTCTCTTACACATTCGTATAGTGTCTGTTCAAACTAGTCACAATCTCATAAGCATAGGGGTGAGGTTACTTTCTTAATTTTCATCTTTTTTTTAAGAAAATATGAACGAGTCTGAGAAAAAACTTCACCCGCATCTGATTCGATCCATCATCCATCCATCCATCATTCGTTCATTGTTCTTTTCTTTTTTGCTTTTCTTCCATTGCCAATAAAGGTCAAATAATCGGACAAGAGTTGGAAGAACCCATGTGAATTGAATCTATGGAAGTGAATGGATAGGTAGGCGTTTTAGTTTTGGGGAACAAAAGGATCTCCAATTAGCACCATTCCAATCAACATTTTCTTGTTTGTGATCCACTTTTTTCTCCTTGGAACGTGGATTGCAATTTCCTTTAGTTGGTTGACCACTTGAGACACCTATAAATACTCACAAGTTCTTCCGTGGTCTTAAAGTTCGTACTCGTATTATGGATCTTAGTGCATTGATACCGCAAAAGAATCGGGCTTTGAGAACTTGCCGAATATGTAAAGTAACGGATTCAAATAATGGTCTCAAATAATTAAAAAATAAAAATTAAAATATCCAAATGGTAAGTTTGTACGTTTTGTGAGTGTTTCGTTTGTGATTCTAGCATTGATATCAGGCTTTTGGAAAAAAACAAAAAAGATCCACTTGCCAACCCATGAAAACTACGAAAAAATCCACATTTTACATGTGGACCTTAGGATCATGCACGAAAAAATAATTCATAAATACATCATCTCCATTTTTGGAGGTGTAAAAATCTTAATATAGAGTTGACCATATAGCTTCATCTTCTCATACCGTTTACAATTTTTTTACTCTCTCGTCAATTAATTTCTTTTTTACTTTCTTTTTTGGACCGTCTAAAAATTTCTTTCTCGTTTCTTATTTTGGCAACAAAATCTTAATCCGGTATTTTATTTATCAAAATTTGGTGCCCTTTTATACCCAATGGTACACCATTGACAAAGTCAATTTGGGTTTTCACACTCTCTCAGCTCACTTCAAACACATATATGCGTTATAATTGTAGCTACTGCTATTACTCTGCGCATCACTTCAAACACCCCCTATGAACAAATACCCGTTGCGTATCACGATGTTTGACTGATGTTATTTTCAAATTATTTTATATGAAAAATTGTATGAAATTAAAAAAAATTAAAATTACATATTTAAAAACTACATGAATAGATCTAAAAAACTATAGGTGATATGACTATAGTATTTTATCAAATACTCCGTATGACATAAAAATATGCCAACAAAGTAAATAATATTTGACCATATGAATAGTGAACACAAACTTTTTTATTGGATGGGGAGAGTATTTTTCTAATATCTATAGGGTCATAAGTCATAACTCATAGGGAGTTGGTGAACGTAAATACCCCGGATGACTTATTGGACGGTAATTCTATTTCCTACGGAGTATGTTTAGTACTATATATTGGTATTATTGACATTGTATTCCTTTATATTTTCGGGATAAAAAAATATGAAGTTCCTACCTTGATATCTCACTCCATGTTTTACTCATAGGTTTTAGTGTTTTTTCTTAGTTTAAAAAGTCTTTTCTCATCATCTCTAATATAGTAATATCCCACCCATCCTTTCATAGCTCCATCCACCCTAATTTAGTAATTTTACCGTACCGTCAAGGGCAAATATGAAAAGTACCTAACACTCTTACATTCACTCGAAACTTCGTGAAATCTTCTCTACTTGAAATCAAAAGAGAGAGTGGTACTTTTTTATTTAATCCAATACTTAATTATATATATTTTTTTGTTAAGAACTGAATCGGAACCGTACTAATCCCAAGAACTATTCGCTTCATTCTAGGAATCGAAACTCGATGATTATATCCCAAAACCGAAACCGGACCATCTACATTAAGCTAGGGGCAGATCTAGGTACAAGTTAATGGGGACAATTGCCCCCAATGAATTTTAAAATTGTCCACAGTAGTACCCTAATTTAAAAAAAATAGTTATGCCCCCATTGAAAAAAATAAAATGCCCATAATAAAAATAAATCTTAAGTAGAGAATTAAATATCTACCATTAAAAATAAAATATTTAAAATTTCATTGAGTCAAGATTAATTTTTTTTAGAGAAAATAAAATCATAGGAAATATTTTTTTACCGTTTTCGTTAATTATTTGAATGCGTTATTGAGTCAAAATAATGTTTTTTTTGTAATTTCACATTGCTATTTTGAAGAAAAAACAGCAGCGCTACCCCTGAACCTTCGTAGTAGTCTCGCCCCCAGTCCTTGTGATTCCTGAATCCGCCATTGTCTGCATCCATAAGTACATCCGGTGGGGTTCCCATGACATTAAAACCCCATGTCATGGGATGACCCACGGGTGCTCCGGTGCCCCGTTCATAAAATTGACGGTTTCTACCCCCTAACTCTTCTGGTAAACACCCCACCCTGCCCCGATCGGAACACACTCCCCACCCCTTCAATTGCACCCCACAAGTTGATTTTGACTTTGGAGTCAAATTTTGACTGCAAAGTAAAAATATACTTGCGGGGTGCAATTGAAAGAGGTGAAGCGGGTGAGTTCGGGTCGAGCGGGGCAGTGGAGCTCTTACCGAGCAATGTTATGAGAACGGTATCCAAGTACATCATTATACTTTTCAAAGACAACCGTCAAAAAGGACATGCCAATTGTTTGTCATAAAGGACATATATGTTATATATTGAATAATATTGAAATCCAATCCATGAATGAAGCTTACATGAACCATCAAAGAAACTCCCATGCACCACCATCTATCCTTAACTCTACTCCCTCCTTCTTGGCTGTATCATATCATATATATATATATATATATATATATATATATATATGCATATAAATATACCAAAAGAAACTATACTTGCCCCAAACCAAACCAAATGGAAGCCGCCAGACGACGAGCGAAAACATCGTCGTCCGGCCAAACCGTCTGCCGGAAGCACCCAAAGCACCGGCAGTCGCCGGGGGTTTGCTCGGCTTGCGTGGCTGAAAAGCTCTCGAAGCTCCAAAACGGTGCCGTTTCGCGCACTAATAATAACATGCATTCCAGATCCGGAACCGGCTTTTACTCTTCTTCTTCGTCGTCTTCTTCGTTAAGTTCTCTGTCGTCGTGCAGTTCATCAGAAACGTCGTCGTACGCGTCTCCAGTCCACCGCCATTTTCGGGGCGGGATCGGGCTCGTGAAGACCAAGTCCATGGCGGCTTTCGTGGCCCGAAGGCGGGGCGGCGGCGGTGGAGGGTTTCTGTCCATATTTCGTAGCAGAAGAGAATGATTAATACTAATGGTGTCACTTTGAATTTTGTAGTCAAAACTTCATAAATTTTGGCTATGAATTGCATTTAAAGTGCTGTGTGTTGTAATTTAAGATTAATATTATTTGATTCATTTTGATATTTTATTTTAAAGTTTACTCAATTTATTAATATTTTTTTTGTGTAATTGACTGTATTATGATGTATATTTCAAAATGTTTGTCAAGATATAGGGCATGTTTGGTTTTTAGCATTTAGAATGGTTTTTGGTTATTTTGACCAATTTTAACATATTTGACTGGTCAAACAACAAAAAAAAGTGTTTGGTAGTTAGCTGCAAGGATTGGTTGTTTGAGTCTGAATAAATAAAAAATGATTATTTATTGCCTAATTAAATAAAAAATTGGTATATAAATAAATATATAAATAAAAAATTGATAAATAAATAAGTAAATAAAAAATAACTAAATAAATAAGTAAATAATATACCAATAAATAAATAAATAGTAAATAAATAAAGAAAATACATGAAGCAATTTGCGAGAAAAATTAAGTTGATGGGAGCGCCGCCTCAATCTACCCCAATTATCTTATATAACGGTATGCGCTATTTATTTGAAAATTTCCCAAATTCTACTTGTTTAAACTGTTTTCGCTTTAGCTCGGTCAAATTTCTACAATTTCTCTTCCTAAAAATCAAAACATTTTGTAGGGTGAAGGAAGATTATTTATGTGGTCAAGAATTATTTCTGTTTTCTTTATACAATATATATTTTTACCTGTAACTTACATTGATAAAATAATATAGTCGTATCAGCTCTTATTTTGTAGCGTGTACATATTTTGATATAAAATTAAATTTTTTATTTTACACCAATTATTAATAAAAATAAAAATAATATCAATCAAATATTGTAAACCGTACTATAAATGAAAACAAATTAAATGGGAAAGGAGTATGCTCTTATGCTTCCTTCCTTATAAGGTAAAGTTTACACTTTCAATTATTAGATGTCTTAAAATGAAATTTATATTTTTTCAACCTTTTTTTCTTAAAAATGAATTTGTCATTTTTTTATTTCATTCCTCTGAAAAAGTTTCAGCCATAGTTTGCATTTTGAATATGGTACTTAAAGTTTTTTGAAATACGGAATAAAAGTGTAAAATTTATGCCCTATTTTGAAGGGGAGAAGAAGACATTGAAAACAAATGATACGGAAGTACTCCGTATATGTATGTGATTCTGATGACTAGACGTTCAGACTTACTCCGTATTTTTTTTGAACAGATTGAGTCAAACCAAATTGATATCAAATTGATTCTCCGGCGTTGGCCCGTTAACCTCCGTCTCTGAGTGTTTGTCCAGTTTTGACTTTTTTCGTCAACTATTTTCTACCTTTGACCTATAATTAAATAAAATATATATTGTATTTTAATTAAATAAAATAATATTTTGAAAATATTTGATATAATAAATCTAATAAAATTCTTTTTGTATCAAGATCTAATATCATTTTTATTTAATTTGAAATTAAAGTTTACCAATTTTGACCGAAAAAAGTCAAAAGTGGACAAATACTCAGAAGACGGAGGGAGTATTAGTTTTAATGTTAATATTCAATTGATACTTGTAAACATATACTACATCAAAAACACTACAAAGTATTAGTCTTAATTAAAATGACAAACAAAAATCTATTTTGAATGATGACAAATTTATTTTATTTTATCAAAAGAATGATGAGAATGTATAAAAAAAAGTTATTTAAGTTTGTTATTTTTTAATAAAATAACTATCCATACTAAAAAAATATTTTTAAAACTCGTTCTTTTTAATCTTTTCTTATTACATACTCCGTGTTACTTAATCTAATTAAAATCACTTCAAGCTAGATCCAAAACAGCTTTAAATATAACTGTATTTTGACGAGAACGTATTTTAATGAGATTAGGTAAAAAAACATGCTCTTACAATGGTGAAATGCAAATTTGTAGAATAGTTGAAAAATGAAAGGCTTTATACAAAATATAATAAAAGTCATCATAACTTAATGTAAACATTGGCATGACATGACATGGCACATGACGTGATATCATCATAATAAACTTTGCACGTGCTCTATTTTATTCGTCACTCAAATTGAATAAAAAACAAAAATTGTATACAAAGTGCTTAAATTTAAATCATTCTTCCTCCGTCCCACAAAAAAGTTTCCATTTTGACCATAAATTGGTCAAACTGTTGCATACTTTGACCATAAATTAAATATAATCTAAATAAAGAAATGCTAAAAATTTTTAGATATCAAAACTAGATCCTAAGATGAATCCAATTATATAAAATTTATTTCATAATTCAATATACCTTTCTCACAATTTGTAGTCAAAGTGTGTAAATATTTGACTAAATACTATTTAAAATGAGAACTTTTTTGTGGGACGAAGGGAGTACAATTTAGAGTTATGCTCGAAACTATAGAGTAATTTAAAGTCATGTAACTTACTAAATATTTTTAGCAATCAACTAATAAACAACTAATTAGAATAGCTAAATATATCAATCATTCACAAATTACTAGCACAAACGGTCAAAGCCCAAAGATTGGCCACCAAAATTAGAATCATGTTAAAAACTTATATAATTTGACATGAAATATATTTTCTCCATCCCTTTTTTATTACAAAATGGGAATTACAAAGTGAAATCCTATGATGTTTGAAATCAATTTATTTACAAATTAGTACATCAATAAGAAATAAAAATTACATGTTAAAAAATTACATAAAACGTTTTACAAAATATGAGGTGACAAAAATATTTTATTTTATCAAATAATCAATAAAAACACACAAACAAACAAAAATTATCGAGAAGGAAGAAAAAATAAAATTGTAATCAAAATAGAGACGTAGGGAGTATAAGAGTTACATTCAAATAGCTATTGTCTTTGACACACAAAAAGTCATTATAAAAAAGGATGAGCCCCATCCCGAGGGCCCCTTCAGACCCGACCGGACGATCATTGGGAAGAGATAAATTGAACTTTGATAGTAGATAGGTGACAGAGAGTGAAGCTTTGCATCTAGTAGTTACAGAGACCTTAAATGTCTCGTATGATTAGGATGATGTTGGAATGCATGCATGAGTTCAACCATTTTTGTATTGTTAAGTGTTGACTCACATGTTTTGATAATTGACAAACACAAGTTATTCAAGTCAAGAATAAAGTGCTACATTGATAAACACAAAGACTTGAAGTGTCAAATCCCTTGAAGTATGCAAGAAGGAGCATAGAATTTAATAAAGACCAAGACGCCTAACAGAGCGCCTTATGGAAGTGTAGAAGAAGATTTTCGAAGAATTTTAATTGATTTGAGTCTTAGGAAATATTGTAAGGATGACAAAAATATTCTTACTCGAAAATTATTTTATGAGAGTTATTTAAAAATAATATTTATTTTTGGAGTTACTTGAAAAATTTCTTTTAACTGTTCAAAAATGCTTTTATTGAGTCAGTTACAAAAGGTGTGTTAAACATTTTTCAAAATACTTATTTTGATATTAGAAAATATTTTTGGTAAGCAAAAATATTTTATTCAAATATTTTTTGACATCGTTTGACACGCAAAATATTTTTGGGACTCGTTTTTACACCAAAAAATCACTCAATTATTCAAAATATTTATTTTGAAATAAAAGGTGAATTGATGGGGAGCCTCCTTGCCCATTCCTCTTGTTGGAAACAAACATATTGGACAAATATGTTTTATCCCGAACACATGCTTGTGTACTTCCTGTCTGTGCATTATTTATCGTGAAAATCGATTATCCTTTTTGAAATAATCAATTACCATCTTCGTTGCGCGTAAGAACAACTCCCATGACTCAATAATTGATTAATCTTTTGTGCAATAATCGATTAGAATTTTTCATCAAGAAAGAATTTTGCTCAGACTGCATTAATCGATTATTTGCACTGCATTAATCGATTATTTTGTTGCATTGTTTCAGCACAACTCCTTTTCTTGGAGCAACAGATATATTCTTTCAACTCCTATTTAAATACCCTTCCTTGGTTATTTTTACCAACAAGAAACACTCCTTAAACACCTCATTCTTGAGATTATAATCCTCCATTTAATCTTTCCTCAAATTCATATATTTTGAGAGAAAACTATTTGTTTTCAAGAGAGTGCTCTTGTTATCCATAGAGTTTATATCTTTACTCATTTCTACTCTTGTGAGAGCTATTGTTGTAAGGTGGTGGAAGGTTATTCTTCTTGTTGTATAAGACTTATGTGACTTAAGTCTTGGGTGTGAAGTCTTGTAGAGGGCATATCTACGAGCGGTTGTATTGAGGCTTATGGGATTCAAGTTCTCGAGTTGTAAACAGTTTGTCAAGCACCCGTTGAAGCTTGATAAGTAATGATAGCTTTGAGAGAGTCTCTCGTGGAACTGGACTAGCCACGAGGTGGTGAACCAGTATACACCGGCGTGTTCTTTGTTTTCTCTCTTTTATTTCCGCTGCACTTTCGTTTATTTTATAATCCTACGAAAATCGATATACGTTCTCAGTTCTCACTAACTCTATTCACCCCCTCTCTAGAGTTGCACGCATTGTCTAACAGATGAAACACTTGATGTAGAGAGTAATTTTTAGTGTCGAAACTTAGATTTTTCTTTTTCTTAAAAAAGATGAGCCCCATCCCCGAGAAATCTCTCAAACTCGGTCGGACAGTTATTTAGAGAAAGGTAAGTTGAAGTTTAATCGTATATTGGTGATAGAGAATAGAACTTACACTGCGTACTCGCAGCGGCTTTATGTTTACATTAATTACCTCCTAATACAGTTACCAGGAATCAAAACCGACTATATCTTTTAACACTTATTGTCTTTGCCAACTGCGGAAATCCTTTAATTTTTCATTTCTTTATTCCAATGTAGGGGCTAATAAAGAAAGAGGACAAAAGGCCGTACACCCGGGCAAAAAACTGCTCTCGGGTACCCCCTATTTTAATAAAATAACTGCCGGGTATCCTCTATTTTTAAAACTAACTACGGGGTACCCCAAATATATAGAAACTTACTGATGAGGCCCTCCGTCTATTCTTCCGTCAGAAGACATCATTCTTTCTCGTTCCCTCTCCAACATTAACGCTTTGTTTCCCTTTCTTGGCACCTGACAACAGTTCCGGACAACATTTTGGGTGAAGTTTTTTTGCCGCTGGCTGGTTCGTCTTTGTTCTTCATGGTAAGTGTATTATATTTTTACAAGAACTGGACGAATTTGGGAATTGGATTTAGGGTTTGTATTGTACGTCATTTCATTCGATTTTACATAGATTGAATGACGGAATTTTGTTAGATTCACTTGGATTCATCAATTCTTTATGAAACAGAGTAATGGTAGTAACTGGACATGATATTGTATTTATTGGCTTTGAAATTCTAAAAATTTTGAAATTTTTTTTATGTTTCAGGCTCCAACGGGTTTTTTTGTATATGTGAAAGACAAATGCATTGTTATAGACAATATTGACTTGGACATGTATTTTACAAAGGATTTGTATTCGGATGTCATTGCAAAAGCTAAAGAACAGTATGTGAGTCTTCCCAGGTTCATTGGTTTT